ATTATCTGGGATGCATGAAAACTGATAAGCTCATGCGTAAGTAACGGCAGACTCTAATATAGCGTTTTCAAAAATCAGAAGTTTTGACAATTTTTGGTCCCAAAATGCCCCTTCCCCTATTAACCAAGTAGAATGTTAGAAAAAATCATTACAAAGCCCACCAGAGTAATATCCACAAGATGGCCTGTCTACCTCCTGTGCTTCCATCTCTGTGAACTGAGCCGGCAGTTACAAACAAATTCTTTATAAATACCTAGTATATATGCAATTTAAAATGATAAAAGTGCATTGAAAATGAGTATAATCAGTAGACTAGATAAATAATATCACAATAAAAATGTAAAACAATTGCAAAGTTTGTAACAAGAAGAAGATTATGTTACCTGAACTGTTCTCAAGCATTTATATAAAAGAACATAGCAAAAATACTTATTCATATCACAACCATAGTAATTAACAACTACAACCATATAAACAAAAAGCATTGCTCCTGATAGTAGGCAAGATTTAATAAGTACTTGAATAACTTTTTTCAGTAATATAGTGCCAATGCCGCAAGCCTACATGAGGCTGGACACCTATATGACCTATCAACGTACCCCCTGAATATTTCGTATGTGTGGCGTTCAGTCTACCTGGCCTTTTCCCACTGTCCAATACCGGAAACAGGTAAATGGCAGACTTGCACCCAATTATGGTACCCACTACGCCATCACACAACCCTTCCCACTTCCTGTGCTATGTACATCACAGATTTTCTTTTTCAAGATTGTACACTGCATCACCGTGGCACAACGTATAAAAATTGTATAAAAATTAAGTGACATACTAAATTCACACAATGGCATTTAATGCTTTGCCATAAAAGCATTCTGTACATCTGAAAGTAGTGCAGGCATAAATATGCTAACTTGGCTCCTAGTCATTTTAGTCTACAAACTTGCCCATAACTCAAGCACTCATTCCTTAATTTCTTTTTAGCCAATAAAGAAACTTTATACTGTACCTAATATTCAAATAAAACAAGCATCTGTCATCATGAAAAAATTCTAGTGGCTAGTCCTTTATCCTTCAAAGTAGAGCATTCCCTTCTGGTTAGTGTTTATATGCACAGAACGCCTGAACTTGCAGGCAGAGACATAGCCAGGATTTCATTTTAGGAGAAGTCTACAGACTTCACTCTAATTCTGTGGCTTGCTCACTTGTGTGGAAACTATAAAACTACAAAAAAAGGGCAGTATGAAAAAAAATCAACTTTAACGACCACAACAGTAAAATTTAAAAGAAATTCTTTAACACAAATGAGTACGCTTGGTTGCCCCGTTATTCAATTTCTGATGTAAGCAATACACAACTAAAAATGTAATAAAATATAAATACTATGCTTTCAACTAGTGCATTTATAGCCCTTTCAATGCAATAATCAGCACTGTGTTGTGGAGTGCACCCACAAAAGCAGCAAAGGTGGATGCCAGTGCACAGAGCATCCGCTTGTCCAAGCATCATTTGCTAGATTATTATATTTTAATATTATAGCTCCTGCTGCTGATCACCACCAAAGTAAGCAGAAATGGGTATGCAATGCATGCTTTTGAGCAAACACCATGTAACCCCCATGTTTTACATCTTTCCATCAACTTCTATGGCTCTTGTGTGCACACAATGGTTGCAATAAGAGGTTACGAAGGATAGATAGGCTTATCAAAGAACGGGGTCATAGTGAATTGAGTTGCGTAGCCAAGCAGACAGTGTTCACAGGGGAAGACCGTGCACATACTCACGCTGTTTTTATGGGTGCATTACATGGCACTGTGCTGACCCTCGTATCAGTCAACAAAGCCATGAAGTTTTAATTTGGACCACTGCACATGACATGGAGTGATTTATGCTATTCTGATATTAACAGTGTTGAAAAATAATTGCCCTTCCTTTCTCTGAATTCTAACTATAGCTTTCTTGATGACAAAAACACAAAGCAATGAGAATTTAAATAAATCATATGGCTATGGAATACAGTGAAAGAAACATCAAATGTGTAGCAATACATAACAGCTGGAACGTAACTTATAACTAGAAGCACCAGAAAATACATAACTTTGCATATGTTAGTGCATCCCTTTTCCTTAGTACTGTACATACAAATTCAAAAGACCTTATTATCCCACATATAAAAGTAATTTTGAGCATATAAACAAGCTTTTATAATCAGCTACAAAGTCGTTACAGTATACTCTCGATAATTAAAACTCTGAGAATTCATAGTTTCAGTTTATTCAAACAAAATTCAATTTCCTCATTGGCCCTCTATTCTTTCAGTGTATTTAAAAGCCTTTTAATGCAAACTCCATCATTCAGTTAATTCATACTTTTTGCAGTTCCATACCAGAAAATATCTGCTGCTTTCCCCCCCTATTAAAAATTTACATGCTTATATAAGCTAACAGTCTAAAAATGAAAAGTAAGCACCTCAGGCCTTCAAGAAAAAAAGAATTTGCTAGTAAACAAATGTTTGAAACGAAGCACTCATGGTAAACCATAATGCTTCTCAACTGGTATAGAGAGTGTTGTGCTAAAGGCACATACCTATAGCAAAGAAGCAGTTGGCAATTAACGATTTTTTTAAAAGGTGTGATCAGCAGTAAATAGCCAATAAACTTGTGGACCTTACACCTCTGCTTTATGTTCATTGCATGCAGTTAGGATTTAAAAACACTTGAAAAAATTTTGATGTGATAAAATCGATGCCTAATCATAATGTGTGGTGTCACCTCACCCAGAGTCTGAGAACTTCTGATAATTCAAACTTCTTGATAAATCAAAAAAAAAATTCAGAGGTCCCTTCAAGTTTGAATTAATGAGAGTTGACTATATTTAATAAGTGCAGCACATTTTATGCTGATAAACACAAAGCTAAGACAGTTGCTTTTTTCAGGAGATTCAGCTGCTCTAGCAGCAAAGTAGCACTGCCACCAGCAAGACAAAAATAGCAGGCAAAAGATCAAAAAAAGAATGTCATCTCCTCAACAGCCACCCCTTGAACAAATATACTTCCTTACGATATGTTAAAAGGGCCACTATATGGTCATCCAACTATTCTCAGTTTATTATTATAACTGAGACTAGGGAGGCCAATATGATTACAAAGGCAAAAAGAAAAGACAGCTGCAATTTAAATTTGGAGTCAGAAGCACCAGAAGACACATGGCCTTGCATAAGCATTCAGGGCACATTTCCTACATGAAATGTCACCCCCCCCCCCCCCAATCAACAGTGACTGCCATTTTGACATGGCATACAAGACACCAAGAAGTACAGGCCATTAATGTGTCCTTCGTTTTAAAAAATTCTGAAATCACGTGGCAATGTATCAAGAGAGAGCTCACCCACTACTTCGCCAGTGTGACCTGGCCTCCCCATGAAGATACATTTGTGAAAACCAACGATGTGTATACTACCCATACTGACCCTGAAGAATATGCTTCATTTAGTACACCATCAGTTTTGGTAAACTGCTTTATGGAACAAAATCCAAATAGAAAGTCCCCAAGGCACCAAACGCGCCTAAATTTTTCTAGACTACTATGAGACTTGTGTAGTAAAATTTCATCTCTTAAATACTTTGAGAATGATGTATCATAAAATCACACAAACTGAACGTATCTAAGCTTGATGATGCAGGTTATGAGCTCTGAATGTAGGATAAATTTATATTAGTTAAATTTGCAATTATAAGCCACAATAGAATGCCCCACTGAAATATTTTGAAATAAAGAACAACAATTTCAACATCAGTAGGATTAACATGCCCAACGGCTTCAGATTTTAACCCAGACATACAAAAACAGTATTGCATAAATGCATGATAAAAATTATGTAATCTAAGGTAAGACTCAGTTTCTCCTCTCATTACTCTCTTGTGTGCTTCATTGCAAGGAGAAAGTGTACCTCAATGACTGAGCCCCACTGAGTACTTGCAGTTATAACTACCAAAGTTAATTTAATGAAAATTTTCCAAATATAGTGGAGTATCACATATGAGATTAAAAGCAGCAGGAAGGGGAGGATGAAAGCTTGAGATGAAAAAATCCATAAACTGGGGTTGTGTCAAGCTGGCGTTTCGATAAGCAGACTTGTCATTCTCAAGGCTAGAGGAAGACAGGTCTGCTTGCCAAAACGCAAGCTCGAAACAACCCCTATTTACAGATTTTTTCATGTAAGACCAAAGCCTTTTTAAGTATGCCAGAAAGAAACTGCTATTCAACGAACACGCATCCATTAAGAAAACAGCTGATCAATGATACAGAAATGCTGCTTATTTAATTAGCATTTTAAAGTAGTATAGTATTGCAAAAAGCAAATTCTAGCAATACCCTAAAACTTGCACTTATTTTTCTTTCTGTGCATTCTCAGAAAATAAAAATGCTAGCATCACAAGTCAGATAAATTCTGTTCAATATAATAATAATAATAATAATAATAATAATAATAATAATAATAATAATAATAATAATAATAATAATAGAAAAATATACAGTCATAATAAGTTGAACAAATCTTTTAAAGTTAATGAAAGTAACTAGAAACTGCAGCCTGCCCCCTTCAAGATGGCTTCATGAGATAACACAAGATGACTGAAATCGCTTTAAGTTTCAAGTTGGTGCTGCGCTCCTATTTTCTTACGACCTTATGCAGCAAACCTACGATAGCCCATTTGCAATGCAAGTCCAAGGTGGAAGCAACGAATTGTGAGAAGCCTGGCCCTTCATTCAGACATGCGAAAAGACAGCAAGCCTTGGCCAGGTCCTTCTCACAAGCTGCGCAAAGAAGCCCGCCTTGCGAGGGGGTCGTTTTCGGACATTGCGTACAGTTGAACCCTTGCGGGCAGGCAACAGGAAGCCCAGCCTCGAGCGTGAGGGCCCCCGACTGATAGTGGGCTCCTCATCAGCCTCGCTGAGCGTCTCGGCCTGTGCCAGGTACGGTGGTGGGGGGGGCTGCCCTACCTGGAGGCCCACGCGGATCTTCTTGGTGAGGGCACCCTCGGGGAAGATGGCTTGGACCTGGGGCACCACTGTGGAGCTGAGAAGGCCCCCTTCGGGACCTACCGCATGCACCTCCTGTCGAGTCCGGCTCACTACCGCAAAGTACTGCGGGAAGTCCGTAGTCAGGATTCGCACAATACGGTTCGTCTGCAAGTCTTCCAAGGCACTCAGTTCTGTAAGAAAATGGTGAACTATAAGCAACAGGCCTACACCTCATGCAGACATGAGGATGATGATCAATTATTCCATGCTTGTCTTAGAATGCTGGGACATCATCATCTTCATCAGTCCGATTACACCCACGGAAGGGTAAAGGCCCATCCCATGTTCCACCAATCAACCCGGTACTGTGGTTTCTGCTGCCATGTTATACCTGTAAACTTCTCAATCTCATCTGCCCACCTAATTTTCAGTCTCTTCCTCACGTGTTTGCCTTCTCTTGAAATCCAGTCAGTTACCCTGACCAGCGGTTACCCTGCTTACACGCTACGTGCCCGGCCCATGTCCATTTCTTTTGATTTCAACTACGATATCCTTAACAACCATTCGTTCCCTCACCCAATCTGCTCTCTTCCTGTCTCTTAAGGTTACAGCTTATCATTTTCCTTTCCATTGCTTGCTGCATCATCTTCAATTTAAGTTGAAGCCTCTTTGTAAGCGTCCAGGCATCTGCTCCACAGGTAAGTATTTGTAAGATGCAGTTCTTATATTTTCCTCTTGAGGGTTAGTGATAGACTACCATTCACGATTTGCAAATGCTTGCCGAGTGTGCTCCAGCCCATCCTTGTTCTTCTAGTTATGTTACTCTCATGGTTCAGCTCCGCGATTGCTACCTGTCCTGAGTACACATATTCCTATACAACCTCCAGTGTCTCGTCACCTATGGCAAAGCTCCGTTTTATGCCGAGACTGTTGCACATTAGTTCAGTTTTATGCATACTGATTTTCAGACCTACTCTTCTACTTTCCATGTCCAACTCTGGGGCATTACATTCCAGAACCACATGATGTGATTTTGAGGCATACTATAGTGGAGCACTCATGATTCATTTTTGAACCCGTAAGGTTCTTTGACATACACCAGGCATTTTTGCATATCACTCAAATCAAAATGCAATCATTATGGGTGGAATTCAAATCCATGCTCTCATGCTTAGCAGCATAATGTAATAGCTGCCAAGCTACCAACACAGCAGGTCTCAGTGGCATAGCCATGGGGTGGCACACCAGGCCCGTGCCCCGCCTTCATTTTTTTTTCTCTTTTTGCCATGGTATACAGAGCACAATATGACACTTGACCACAACTGCCTGCCCAGCACCTTCTTCAAATCAAAATGCCCCCCCCCCCCCAATAGTTTTCTGCCTACAATCCCTGGCAGATCTATGCTTACACTTAAAAAGCAAGGCACACCACGATAACAATGAAATGGGTGTCCTGAATGCAGATATGTTGTAGCAATTATGGAAGCCTTCATATCTTGAAAGAGCCTGTTTTTTTTTGTCCAGCGGCCTTGGTATAGTACCACAATATTTTATCAAAGTACTTGCAAGATATCGCATGTTTTACTAATGCCCCCAAGAGGAGACAATGCTTGGAACATGAGTCACAAAAGTACTGCCCTACCCTTTCCGTTTTCTTCCGTTCAACCGGTACAGTCACTAGAACCTCTCACAGCGACTCCTTGGAATCTACAGCGGCGCCATTGGTAACTCGAACAGATGACGCGACGCACGTGGGCGGAAAGAATGCCAGCGTTGTTATAACTAACGAAGGTGTTGATCAAACTAGAGCACAACGAAACCCATCTCGAACATGCTAGCGATGTGACTTCATAAATGAGTTGAAAACAATGCTGTGCAAATAAACAGGCATAGAGAGAAATAATGACATGAGGAAAAAGCTACAACGTCAGTTCTTAGGGAGTTTTTATTGCCTTGATTTCATGAGTTCATGGAAGAAGTGATGCGTTTTCGAGCCAGATGTTTATCTTGCCTAGAAATACAGTTTTGATGCGTGCTCAAATGCTCACCGAGCCTCAGATGAAAAGAGTTGCAAAGACCTTCGGAGAGCAGTTTGCGTGACCACTGACTCAAGGCAATTTCGAGAGGTAACCGTGTGCCAACGCGTAACGCTGTAGTGTGCAGTAAGGAGTAACAGACAGGAACACTGCCACTAAGCTGCTTTCAAGGAAAGCCCTGTCGCAAAAAGTTCTTAAGCTCTAGCCCAACTTTCTGCAAAGAAGTGACTGGTGTTTGTTGACATAACACTCCTTCAATGTGCTTCACAAACGCGCAACCAACCATCCACACGAAGCAGCCAGCTGCACCACTCCATCGACACAATGTTGTCGACATCGTCCCTTTCACCAACTCCTGCAGTACAGTTGCTAGCACCACCACAGAGCACCCACTCGAAACATGTGGCAGCGTTCCTATTATGGCAAAGCTGGTGACGTCCCAGGCATAGTATTTTTCTAGAAGGCAGTGGTTCTACTTATGATGCTCTATCTCTATGTCAGCATTAATGTGGCATTACATTCGTCGCTGAATGAAGCGTATTCTGTTGAAAAGTCATACTGTTGCTTTTAAGACGTCCTAAACAATGCATTTTCATTGAGAATTGCATAGTCAACTACCAACAGCTGTGCTTAATGGCTTGGAGATACAATTCAATATACTTATATTGTTAAATATTAGTGTCTTTTCTGCAGTGGCACCTTTCTCCAACATCCTTCATTGACACCCTTCAAAGTCAGCACTAAGATCTAACATTTCTAAAAGATTTTGCTTTAAAAGCATACAATACACATACTCCACAACATGCTCCTAAATACCACTGCCTCTCAGCTCGTCTGTCCCGCATGTGCTGTCATCCTGACTCAGCAAGTGCACTCTCTAATCTTCCCTTACATGTCATATAGCAGCCTGCACCACACTCCATGCATAGCATACATACGTGGCCTGACACCTGGCTTTTAAGTATGAGACCCATGATGTACACTATAGCATCATCACAGCACGAAACAGCTGCGATTGCATAAGAGAGGAATGAGGAATAAAACTATTTGCTTTTTCATGTAAGAAGTACCGTAATTACTCGAATCTAACGCGCACCTTTTTTCCGGTTAAGCGAGTTCATAAATCGCATGCGCGTTAGAATCGAGTACGAAAAAAAAAATGAATACGGTCGTTCTATTCCCATCGGCATTCCGAAATGGCCGCCCCCTACGTGCGTCGGCATGGCGCGTCGGCCATTTCTGCCTATGTGTTTCCCATGTGCGGCACTTCGTACGTGTGCTGAGGAGTTCGTCATCTTGGCGTGCATTGGCATCGACGGCATGGAAGGGCCGACTCCAAAAACTCGACGAATGCACCACGGTGCCGCTTTTAAAAGAAAAGATCGCGTGTGCCGAAACGGACGTAAATCGGGCTGCATCGCGGTCGTTCGGACTTCCCGAAACGTGCGTGCGGGACCGGCGGAAACAAAAGCAGAAGATCGTCGACAGCAAAGCTTCACGCAAAGGCTTCAGTGGACCACATCAAGGTTGGTTTCCGCAAGTTAAAGAGCTGCTCGGCGAGTATGTGCTTGAACAGCGAGCGGCACGGCGGCGGTCACGACAGAACTGCTCCAAGTGCGGGCTATGCAGTTAGCCTTAGAATAGAAAAGGGGCTAATGCGGAGCCAGTTTAAAGCGAGCAGGTGCTGGCTAACTAACTTTATGAAGAGAAAAAGCTTTTCCCTTCGAAGGCGACCGGGCATATGCGAAAAGTTTTGCGGACGAGTACGATAAAAAGCTTTACAGTTTCTAGAGGTTCGTCCTAAACTTGCGGCACAACAACGGCTACCTGCTTGGGAATATCGGGAATGCCGGTCAGACGCCTCTTTACTTCGACATGCCTGGCACCACAACTGTCGAGAAGAAGGGGGCGAAGCAAGTTCGCGTGCTGACATCGGTCCACGGTAAAACTACAGTGACGGCGATGCTCCGTTACATGTCAGATGGGCACAAGCTTCGCCGTACCTCATATTTAAATGGAAGATGCTCCCGAAAGGAGTCGTTTTTCCGAGTGGTGTGATCGTGCGGGCCAGCGAGAAAAATGGGTGCGCATTGCAATCGATGTCTTAGGTTGTTTTTTTTTTTTTTCGTCGTGGAAATCGGGTGCGCGTTACAATAGAGGGCGCGGTAGAATCGAGTAAATACGGTAACCACTTTTAATACATTAAAAATCCATTTTTTTACATGCCTGCATTGTTAATGGAGCATACCTGAACTTTACATTACATGGAACTATGTATTTCCTGTAGACTTCACTACAGAGCAAGTATTCCAAGTATCTGGTACCTTTGTTAGCATGCAATGAAAATGATTACTTGTTTTCTCGTGACTAAAAACAATGGTGCTGTCTGCTAGGTGACAAAAATTAATGCTGTGAATATCACATAAAAAAGAACTTTACGATACCCAATAAAAGAGTTGTACGCACCTTCGCCTTCAAAGCTCTCATTTAAAACTTCTTGAACGGCTTCCTCAGAAGCCTCAAGAGTATGCTCTTTCCATGTTTCTCCGTTGTCACTGCGCAGGATGCTTATCTCTCGCTCTTTGCCTCGCAGTGATGCAAAGTGAGGCACTTCCAGAATCACTGGCCTGCATTGCATGACATGTACATTAGGTACACACACAGTAAAAATCCTTACTGTTAGTTATGTGTGAGTATTAATCATAGTGTTCCTATGTTCAGTCTAACAATACAGTATATGTTATCGAGCATACTCAGCTTCAATTACAGTGTAGAAAATTTTTTTGGTATTCAAACAATACAAATTTAAATTTGAAAATTCAACATCGACAGCAAGGTAAGGTATTGGGCTCGTTAGTTATGCATAATTGCTAAACTGCACTGCAGTTACCGGGGACAAAAAGTCAAGGTGGACACACAGAACAAAGACACAACAAGCACAATCAATCAACTGCACATACCGAAAAGACATGACGGATTAAGAACACAAGAAAAGGGAAGGAAACAAGCAAGTAAAAATGTTGGGAGTTAAAAAGCAGAGTAAAACCATGGCAGACTGTTCTATGGCCCTATACAGGAGTGACATAAGCTTGCCAAAGTCCTTTCAAGAGACATGATAATGTAACGCTATCCTGTTCTTTTTCATTACGCATCTGCCAACAGCACTCCATCATTTGTGAAAATCTTCTGGGCCATGCCCACAACACTTGTCAATGACTGGATGCAAAAAAAGGCAGAGAAAATGCCCTGGCACATTAAAAGGGCCTAGCAACACCGTTTCAAGCAATCACTGAACGACCACACTCTAGGAGTCTGTTGCCTCATGCATCTGATCATCAAGTATAGGCATAATTATGAGGATTTGTCAGCACTTTTTTCTTCTTTCATCCAGAAAAGTGCGCTGGACACTACAGAAGGAGGAATGACAAGGGAGCAGGAAGCTACATCACCCACTGTCATGATGGTCGTTATTGTTTCATGTGGCAGCACACTGAGCAGTAACAGTGACTATGCCATTCAAAACACGTAACTGTCATGCTAAAGTCTGGTCAAGCTCTGCAAGAACCTGATGTGCAAAGGTTTGTCCTGTATCACCTTGATGCAATGAATGGCCAAATCTAGGTACGTAGCACATTTTGAAGCTGTTGCAATTGGCCAAACACCAAGCCATGTCTACCAAGGTGTTTAAGTTGCAAGTCACATAAGAGAGCAAGCGTGCACTGGCAAGCCAAGCTGAATATATATTTTTTTTTGGCTTGAGCAATCTAGGAAAACAATGTTTTTAAGATCGGTCTATGTAAGCCGAGTTGAACCACACCACCGTGTAAAGGTGAGTAAGTGAACTTTCCACATTGCTTGGCATTCTTTTCATTAATATCCATACAACAAAACTTTGAAAACAGACCTTTTACTGAGACAATAAGACAGCCATTGACCTTTTTCATTTAAGTGTGTCAACTTGTCAACTCTTGCTTTTGATCAGGACTGTATACGAATTCCGAAATTATGATAACTATTCACTCCTCAAAACTGCTACTGTCTGCGCTGAATTCATCTCATACCAAAAATCTAAATCCTCACAAGCCTACTGTATGGTGGTTGCCATACTAACGACCCACGAGTAGCACTGATGACTCACCCTAGGAACTTGGCTCCTGCAGGCCCAACCTCAAGGATGCGAGAGGCACAAGCTTCTCCTTCAAGCAGTGGAGGTGGGTGAGGAAGCTTCTCTTTGCGCAGGTAACGACAAGTAATACGCATAGGCATTTGTGCCTTGCGAGGCGGGATGATCACCCTAACACCAGAGTGTCGGCAGCCACGCATGGCGCCGCCCCGCGCATCCACCATGAAGCTTACAAGAAACCTGGTAGAACAAGCCAAGCAGTGTAGGTAATTATTAGAAACAAAGATTTGCATGCTAGTGTTGGAGAAGCTTGAAGAGAATATACAATAGAAGATGGCATAAATGACATCAATATGATGCATGACTCAATATCACAAGGATCCACTTGAAATAAGCACAGTAGTCAATATAACTGCTAAAAAATTCTAGCTGCCCACTTCATATACTTTTTAAAGAACTCAAATCTGGCTTTTTGAGACAAGTTAATAAGTAGCACCAGTATGGCAGTTCGTCTACAATGCAACATCAAACTCATAACTAATCAATTTGCCAACAACAAGGTTATAGTGTCACCACAAAAGCAGGTAAGAATCAGTAAATAAAAAAGATTTTTTTGTAAGAAAGGAATCATGTAAGAGTAGTTTACCTAGATCACATTCAAAGGAATTAAGAGGTGCACTTTGCACTGGCATAGCACTGTTTCTTATGCACTTTGAAGCATAGAGCATAAAGCAGACCCAAAAAAAGTACTTGAAGGACACGATACAGATATAAGTTAAGTTTTGCCTATAAGGGGAACATTTATGCGCTGCATTTCGTTTCATAATGCCAGATTGTGGACATCTACATTATGTTCCAGATGTTTAATGCACATTTTCAACGAGCACCCACTAAAATTGACTGTTTACATATCCTGCATGGCTAGTGACACACAATACAACTCACTAGCTATCAACCATGAGTGAGGTTCTAGTGGTACTTAATTTAGTAACAGGACTCCCATAATGCCTCTTACTTGGCTCACATATAATGTTAATATTATATTGGCTTAATTAATCTTGAATAGAGTGGCTAGAGATTATTAATCAGGGTTTCTGATTATACAACATTTAGGTGACGAGCAACGTAGGCTGGGTGCTTGCACTTGAAGCAGGGCTCACATGAATCTTAATGCACCCAGACTCACCTTTCAGTAGGTAATCAAAGGAAATACATCAGGGTGATAGCAAAACTTGAGTCTTCACCAACAGTTTTTAAAGCTAATACTATTAGAAGTTCCAGCATGTCAAGTTTTCACGTGTACATTCCAGAATAGCTCAGTCACCAATAGGGCAATGCAAACAAGATGTGTCACAGCCCAGCAAAGCTGTGGGAAACAAGGCAACTGAAACGCACAGCAGTACTCTAAATAGAGAAGGCTGCATATGATTAATGATAAGCAAGGTGGCTATCATCAGTGCACATGACCACACTGCGGGAATACTTTCAGCCCACAAGTAAATGTGATGGTGAAAGTAATTAGCCTAAAGGAAAGGGTCGGAATTGAACAGACTCTACTGTAACTCGTCCAGCACCTGATCCAAACAGGTAAAACCTCAGCTGCTTGGCAAAACCAACTTTTGTATATTTAAGTATTAAACACACACAAATGGCAAAAAAACATCCTAAGTTTTAAAAAATGTGCTCAGACATGATCGCACCAACGTTGAGCATGACAAAAAAAACTGTGATGGACCAGTCAATCATGTGCATGTTTAGTTTCTGCTACCCAACGGTTCCCATAAACAACAGAGATGGCACTAGCTTTGTCTCCTGTTTTAGCACTTATTTGTACAAATAAATTCAAACTCCAATATATGGGAGAGTGGAGCAGTAGTGATCTTAACAATTTTTCCCTGCACAGCCAAATACATTCACCATCATCTGTCATCTCCCCATTGGTCAGGTATGCCTTACCATGGAGAAGGCAGGCTGTTCAAATGAGACAAAAGATCCTTGCAGTCACAGAAATATGCATCAGTAAGCTTCTACTCAGCAGTAGCATGCAAACACACTGCTTGTGGAAGACAGAAGATAGACTACAAGCATGCCTCTCGGTATCCTTCAAAAAACCCTCCTGTGTTAAAATCACCTTTAGCTTTTGTTTCTATGCCTTTGTGTCCCACTTCCTGCTCTATGCTTTAGTGCTCATATCAAAGCAACATAGGCCGGCTAACTGCTTATCGCACAGCACACCTCTTGATTCATGGCTTCAAGCCGAGAAAATGACAATACCTTTGTGAGGTGCTCAATAACATGTTATCACACGTGCACACACACACAAAAATAATATTAGTAGTATATTTACATATAAGCAAGTAAATATTAGTTATTATGAATGTTTATGAATAATTAGCAATGTCTTGAATACACATACCCTGTCAAAAGTTCAATTGGCTCAAAAAAGCTTTTACACAACCGTTACAGCTGTATTGTCATAAAATATCAATGAAAATAAAAGTTACAGCAGAACACTTTTAAACCACAGTAAACCTGATATCAGAAATGACACTATGGGGATTTTTAAGAGTACAGAATGGTGTCAAGGTAACCTACAACCCAAACTTTCAGGGAGAAAAAATTTCTCTCCTTAATTAAAATATTTTTAATATCACTCATCTTGGCCTTCAGGATGATCAGTATCAGATTATGTATTGACAATTGTGGCTATGATTCTCACTGTAGCGATAAGTGTTAATCCAGCAAGACATTTCTGGCAGTCATAAGTAAAAAATCACTTTTTAATTATAATTATCAGTTTTAAACTCCAAAAATTATGTCTTCCATACTCCGTGCAATTCAACTGAAGTGTACTCTAAACAAGAACGGTTGTCAAGTTATACATAGTTTGAGGCTGCTATTTAAGTTCTAAAATTGAATTCCCCACTCGAACATTAGGGCTACTACCCAGACACTGGCACAAAATTATGACAAATGAAAGCACCGATTGTCAAAACAAACATCCTTTTTCTAGGATCTTGTACAAGCTGTGACAAATAATAAAGAAGTAACACAAATTAAAAGGATAAGCAATAAACTGCATTAAATAAATACAAATGACACCGCAGTGTTTTGTCAGCTATAAAGCAGTGTTCAGTAAGAGTTTTGTAAACTCCAGATGTGACTTCTTGTCACTTTGCTGTTAAGTGTGCGATTAAAAGGTTCTGCTGCAAGTCACCTCCACATAAAGCCACTAGAGCACATCGAGCAGTGCCAGCCACAAGATCAGCATGGAGCCTTTGGCAGCTTGGAGGCATGTACACATTCAACAGCAGCAATGGGGTGTATTAAAGGAATACTGTTGGGTGCTTTTATTATAGCTGGTGAGTATGGCAGGGTCATAGGGCAACTTACGTCTTCCACTTTAGCTTGCTACTTTGGTTCCAAAGGAATCGTGCAGCAGAGGGGAGAGAACAGCCACAAAAAGGGAAGAGGAGGAAAAATATTACCAGGTTAGGCACATCAACAGACAACAGCCAGAAAAGCACAAACAGCCAGCGATTAGTAGTCCACAACATTCATGCAACCCCTTGCTTGTATAGCACACGCCATATGCCTCCCCAATGAAAATGAGCCTCCTTCACTTCCAATCTTGAATTGCCTTGGGCTAGTACGATCCTCCTTCAGATGGTCAAGAGGCCAACATTGAAAAAAAGGACTAAAAGTTTTTTTGCCAACGATGACCTGAAATTGCAAATTTATGCACACACTCACATACAACTAGTGATCACATATATACAAAACCAATTCTTTCACCTACTCCAAGTATATTAACAAACCTGTATATACTCAACTTGACCATGAAACTTTTAAGGAGCTTTTTCTGTATAACATATCTGACAGAGCAAATTTCACAAAGTGAAAAACTGCAAATGTATAAGGGCATGTAACCTTCACTCCAATGTAGCGACCCCAACCCCTGCAGTATCACCTGTTATACTTGAGCAAGCCCATCATATCAACCGCACTGCTGGAAATGTATTAATGCATCACAAGATTTACTTAGGCTAAACAATTTAAAAGGACTGAATCCTCAAAGCTGAAAAAAAGTAAATCTGCTGTTGACAAAGGATGATGGGAAAATGTAAACAGCATTACACAAAGAAGCCTCTGATAGAGCATAATCTGTTTACCCCACTGCCACACAATTGTAATTGCCATTAATCAGCAGAGTGCTATTGCAATCTACACATAAGCTACTATACAGCAATGATAAAATGCATGTCTCACTAATGAACATCACTATGCTTTTTTGTTCAGTCTGCCAGATTATCCATTGAACTTTTTGAAAATGTCTTCTATAAGCTTTGTATATTGCAGCCAAACTAGCAAGACTGATCTATTAGGCCATTCATATATACTTATGCAATTTTTTTTAATCTAACAGAAAGCATTTTAGGTCCCTCCTACTAATTTCCAAGCTATCAAAGCTCTACTTAGTTTCCCAAAACATGGCCCCATTGGCAAAAAGCTTATCATTATGAACTGATGACAGTTGGAAGGCATTACTATTATGTTCAGGTTCTGCATTGACACCACCTACACAGCGAAAATTCCTCTTTCAAGTTACAGTCAACAGCAACTCACAATGCTTACTTGCTGTTCTCTTGCAGAACACTAACAGTGTATGTTCAAACTAGGAACATTAAGCCACCACTCTTAGTAGTGCTGAAGAAGTGGTGCTGTTGTGTATAGGGACAAGGAAAGTAGCAAACTTTGAACACAAAGTGCAAAGTATAGTACACAGTGCAAATGATAAGAGAAGCAGGGTATGGTGGCTTGCACTTAGTCACACATCAGTAAACATCGATTCTACATGAATAATATGCATTCTCACCAAATAATAAAGATGGACTTTAAAAATAAACAAAGCCAATTTCAAATTGCAACAGAACATATTACTGAGATGCTCAGTGCCACACATAGTACTACTTACAGTTTCTAGCACTCTTTCCTGTCTTAGCAAATACTTATAGCTCTTTAGGTAAAACTTCACACATAAATTGATGAAAAAAATGTAACAAGAAAAAGGAAGAAAGAGGGCACGAGTTTTCAATATAAAAGCTGTAAACATGTTTTGATTCATCCTACAATGAATGTAACTCTGCTGTATCAGTGAAAACAGCATACTTCCTAAAAAGGGCTTCATCTTTCCCAATGTGAATTTTACCTCTTTATTTGTGGTACATAAATTGCAGGCTAAATTTTAACATGCGAGGCTTTTAAGCAGAACATTCTAAAAAATATTAAAAAGTAATGTTTCTTTTAAATGCAGTAGCTGAAATAACAATCCTTTGTTTGATCTGCTCAGCATATCACCCTCATCATGCAGATCTAGGGGTTGGGTATCCAAAGAGTTATATTTTATTAACTTTCAGTTCACATTACACATCATCATTTCTACATTTCAGTTTAATGAAACAATTCCTTCTTTAATGCTTTCTCTGACTTCATTACCTAACACTTGGCTACAATATTGGTTACCATAACACAGTTACATGCTACCCGTTCAATATGCAATGAGTGGAAACATGAAAGCCCCAAAATTCTGCCTTGAAAGAAAAAGCTGCACAATATTTCACATATCTTTCAGCCATAAAGAATATCAAAGCATTTTAAGTTTGTTTTACTTAAGCAGTGCTGCAAGCAGCATGAAAAAAATTCACACATTTGTGATAAAAGAACACGTAAGGGTTCTCTAACAACTGTCTTTAATAAATATCTGAGCAGATCAGTTAGCAGTGCAAAGGTCAGTTAGTACAGCATACCGTATTGGCTTATACAGTACATATAAGTAACTCGCATGACTAAGAAACTAAAAAAGCCCACGACTGTGCAACTTAAAGGCTGTGCAAGAACTGGTGCTTTGTGAGCATAACCTACAGGTTAAATTTTTAAAAAACTGTGGAATGTTCAGGCTGGTAGCTCATCAGGGACTATTCCAAAATAAAAAGTATATTAAAATGTTTCAACACGGGAGGGAGCTATACAGGACAACTAGCTGTTCTTTTTCTGCATTATGCAAGATGTTTACAAGTTATACAAGAAAAACTCATAATGTGAGAAAGAGTAGACAGAAGCTTTACCAGTGCTTAGATTTTTCACAGAACAAGTAGTATACTCGGGCAAGAGTCAAAAGCATTTTTGATGTCATGTCTTCAACTTTGTATAGTGGTATTTTTATGATTAGCCGTTTTTTTCTGCACAGTGCAATATGTTTACAAGTTATACTAAGAAAGACTCATAGTGTCAGAAAGCGTGGACGAAAGCTTTACCAGTGCCTAAGTTTTATAATTTCATACAGAGCTCTAACAAATGTATTTAACACACTTCATGTGTTAACAAGTTAAGCTGGTGTGTCAAAATAAATATCAATATACCACTACAAGCAGTATGGATTTCCTAATGAATAAACCAGGGTAACTGCACTACAGCTAATAAGCTAAGTGATTGCATGCCAGTTCGCATAACTGTTATGGTAACAAAAAAAATATGGGACAACAAAAAAACACCATCCATAAAAACCAGACCAAATGCATTTGTAAACCTGGTCTTTTTTGCTGCCTTAAATATTTTTTGACACCTTTGTACAGCAAGACAACTAACCCACTTCTATATCCAACTATAATCTTTTTATACTATAAAGTTACATAGCATTTAATAGGATAGCTAAAATAATGTGCACATCTTTACATGCAACTGCATAAATAAATACTCGAATTCACCATTGACACAGGCTGTATACCAAACCATGACATCAATGCTGGACACAATTATCCACAAAGTACACAAGAATTTGAACTCAGTGCCTTCCCCACAATTCAGCAGCCACCAAAATATGTGTGTTAGCATGCAAATAAAACAAGCAAAAATACCCAGCCAACCTGGCATTCAATTGATACATGCAACACCCAAGTTGAGGATAAGGTTAAGTTCTAGCAAGTGCAAGCATGCAGTTATTATTCAGCTATTACTAAGAAGCTGTACCAGAACCAGAAAGGTGAAACGAAATGAGAAATGGAACCAAAAAAAGGCAATACTATATCAAAATGTATTTTGATATTACTATCAAATACAAGCACATTAAAGAAAGGTGTAAAAGTAAAGAAGTTTTGCAAAACATACAAAAACCAAAACCATGAGAGCTTCCCTTATACTATACAATAAAAGTAAAAAGTTGAAGTTTTCCTATGTTCAGAAGTGTGAGAAACAGGAATGAAAAAAATCGTTTTTTACAAGACAAAAATAAGATAAAAAATTTCCACATTCCCAGTGTGCTGCCAACGTACTGCTTTTCACACGTTATGTAGCTGTATCTGGCATCATGTAGTACTAGTATAGTACAAAATGTACACCCTGTGACAGTCATATACAATGACACTACTATAAGCCAAAATAAAAATTGCAATTTCAAATAAGTATGATGGGCAAGTGAAAAAGCAAAACTTCTAATGAAATCATTAAGCAATGAGTAAAGCAAATCATGTTAGATAAAATTATCAACTATCAAGACAAAAAAAATCCTATATTAGAATGTAATTTATAAAGGGAATAAACATTTCATAGGCAGGAAAACTGAATCTAGGAAAAGTAAGGCTTTGTTGGCATACTTAACAATAAACATGTCCACATTCATATTTTTCTTTTAGCATGCATTATTCTGAAAATATGCCCGGAACAATGAACACAAAACATAGAAAAGCACAATGTGATTAAAGCAAGCACATCTTGCTTTAATGGCCATCTTTCTCCAAAACATGTGAACGGTAGATTGTGTCTTCATTGTACCTCCTGGTCCTGGGGCTTAATTAATGAAATAGCATCGCTTACCAGTCTTTAACTACATTTAGTGCTGAGCAGCAGATGAGCATCAAGAACGGCCAAGGAAGCCACTAATAAAACACAGACACAAAACACTAGCAAATAAATGCAAGGCAATGGGGAAACCAGTAGGAGGAGTTTGGGAAAGAGAAAAGCAAATAAAAAAGCTGGGAGGTGCACACCTTTCGCGCCACATGCGTTTTGTGGGCGACAGGACGTAGGCAGAGGAGCAGGAATCACCGTCCCAACTAAGCAGGGAGCTAGATGTGTGCAGAAAAAACAAAATGAAGGGGAAGAAAGCAAAACCAAAGAACATCATTTAAGTCATGAGTGCTGCAACAAAAGGCACAAACAGGCTTCGAGCTATAGACAGCAGAGGAGCGCACTTTCAAAGCCACTATATATAAATGGACCCTTTTCATAAGTATAAACAGCTTGCCAAACTAATGGATGACAGAGTCATATTTGAAAATTGAGCTCTTGTGACGGAATTATGTACAGTGATGCCTAATCTCCATTAAACCAAGACCAGTGTTGCCATTAGTTGGGCAAATGTGCAATGCTGAAGAGGGCATTTGCAAGTTAGGAAAAGGGTCCTTATTGCATTGCAAAATTAGACTGCCTTGCAATTAAGAAAAATTATTTTTGAAAGCTCTGTTATTATTTAAATTTTAAAAAATGTCTACACAGATTGTGCAGAAGATAAATTGAAGCCATGCACATGAACTTAGTATAATTGTAGTGAATTGAGTTTGAAAAATAAAAGACAGAGTTGGCAAAGCCAACCTTCTGTTATTAATTAAGTTAGCAGAAGTCAAATCCTCAAAAATAAAAAAATAAGATCAGTGTGTTCCTGATAGGAGTAGAATTAATGAGGTTGAGGACAGGCAGTTCCAGAGAACAAAAACCACTCAAAAGTTATTTTTTTCGCATAAAGTAAGATGAATCTCTATGAAAGTGGCTCATTATGAAAGTGCGTTGTCCCCAATACCAAGGCTAAAAGTACACGTGCCTAAAGCAAGGTCAAGCTCCTAGAGCATGATGCCATAGGTTCTGAGCTGTAGCATTCAAGGAACAATTTTGGATAGAATGAATATCTGCTTATAACCAACTGCATGCAACCTAACTGCAAACAGGAAACTGCGCATAACTAAGACAGAAATGCCCTGAATACTTAACTTTTTCAAAATTTTACAAAAAAAGGAGTTTTTTTCACTTTGCCCAGTATTCATACTGTTTGGCTTTTCAGTCCAGTCTGTATCCTCATAGTACAATGTTCACATTATGCAAAAATAAACTTGCATACAAACTCTCTTTAGCTTAGCACAAAATGGATTAATGAAATGAAATGAAGCAATAAGTTACTGCTCATCTGTGAGGTAGTACAACAATATCAGATCGGCACCAATTATATTCGGCTGGGAGTAGCATAGATAGGGTGCTTCAGCTGCTACTCAATTGTATCACTATGTTGCATTGCCTTGTGGCTCTTAAGGGCCGTCGTCGCTGTGAGTTTGCAGTAAAATCGTCATCGAAAAATCAGCACACATGGCACCCAGAGTTTTCGAATTAACCGGACTGGTGCTGACCACTGCTTCAAATTATCTGCTCAGACATACATTGCAAGATATGGAACCACAAAAATATTTCGAATTATGCGAGTTATCGAAATAACCGAGTTGGAATTATTGAGGAGATGTTACTGTAATATGGAAGTTAAAAGAGGTATACAATGACTGATGGTATTGTCGTGTGCCAATGGTTCTCCCCCCCCCCCCCCTTAACGGCCATATTTACTGCATAGCACTACGAAGTATAGTGATGTTTCAGCCAATGTAATCATTACACTTTCCACTTTACCTTCTTTTCTTTTTTTTCGGCTGTCAGAAATATGTTTATTTTCGTTGTACTGAAATCTTGCTGGAAACAACCAATAATTTTTAAACTTGTTATATGCCTAAGTGCTATGTAAAGGGCACGTGAATTTTTTTTCAAGCAAGGTTCTTTGACTTTCTTAGCCCAAATTTTTTTTCTTTCGTGCTTCCAGTTTTGTTGTAAGCTCTCTTCTCCATTCCTCAAACAGAAAATAAACTTATTATTCTTCTAAAGCCAAAGAAGGTGCAAATAAATGGTTCATTAGAAACCATCAAAATACATACTAACCAAGGAAGTGACAGAAACACAAAAACATTCCATTATTATTTAATGAAAAAGCAACTGCAGCTTTTGCACCTTTTTTTTTTTTTCAGTATATGAAGCCTTTTTGTGTATGCATATTTCAGGAGAGTGAGAAGAGCATCTCGCTTGCTCACTCTTGATGCTCTCATTACTTGTCTAACTAGTAGTTGAAGGAGAACTGGTACGGCAACACAGGTTGCCAAGTATACCACATTCCATACATTTTATGCCATGCTTCATTTCATTCACTGAGCCCTATACACAGATTACTATTACAGAAAAGGTGAATCTGTCGTGCTGTCTATGGGGCTGTGAGAGGTGTTTGTAAACCTATGTTTAGTGTATTTCTGTCCTCTTTGACATGTTTTGTGCTGCACTCAAATATTGAAGTTCAACATCTAAGTGGCCCCAACATTGCTACCTGACCCTTCTACAGGAACAATAGAGCTTAAGGGGGGAAGAGGGTTTTAAATTTTTTTTTTATATTTCTTGACCAAATTCAATGAAAATTGTAACCCAGACAGAGTTTTTCAAGCTGATTTCAAAAATATAATTGCTTTTGAAATTGGTTGGCCAGTTGCAGAGATAATTAAAATTAATCCTATATTGTTTATCAGAACAATGGAAAGGCAATTATTGGCCAGAATATTAATATTGACATATGGCTAGATACTATGAAGTGTAATTAACACAAATGTAGGATTACTTTTTTAATATTACAAGTATTACCAATTTTATAGCAATTTGAAGTTTAATCTCCAGATATCTCTATCAAGCGATTAAATTAGTACCAAGAATAAAAATTTAGAAAGACTAGATTGAAAAATCTGTTCCTACATTTGTGTAGGAGACATATGTAGCTACATGCCACCACAAGAATTGTGGCTCTATGTGACCTCAAGACCAAGATATCGCTTTGGCAAGTTTCAAAAACATCGAAAATGACATTCTGAGAAAACGTCAAAAAACAAAATAGGCTCATATTTAATACAGAAAATCACAAACTATTTACAATGTTCACAAATGGCCTAGCATCAGTACCCTCCAGGAACATAGTCTGTCTGTTTAGAGTCATTTCGGTGTTGTTTTCGTAGCACACGCTGCAAGTTTTCTGCAGAAGCATGCTTGCGTGCGCATGCTTCAGCACGGTGGCGATCTTTTTCACTCATGCGCTTGGTCAACTGTTGGCCAGGGTTTAGCTGAAGTTCTTGAAGTATGGCTGTAGAAGCTTTTTCATACCCAGAATTGAACTTCATTACAGCCTCTGCCACAGCAGCTTGCACAGCAAACAATGATGCATGTTTCTCCTTCGGCGCCAGTGCCCAAATAATTGAGTGGAGACACTCGTTGTTATTTTGGGTCTTCCCTCTTAGGCATCGCCGAAGAAGCGATTCATCAGACAAACGTCTGTAAACTGGAAGAAGCGCCTCACATACATGGGGTGGCAGATTGTGGCGGTGTTTTGGAGCAGGCTCACCTTTGGCCTTTGCTGCGTTTTGGCGGCACCATGAATCTGGGCCCTCTGGACAGAGAGTGTGGTTAGAAGTGACATCGTTTGAGGTGATGTGGTAGTATGTGGCCATGACTGCTTTATGCATGGCCTTGACATCACCTTTGTGCGATTTCAAGGCCCAGCCATAGTAGCTGCTGAGCTTGGTGATAAGCTCACCAGTCAGCTTTCCTTTCCCACCGAGACTCTCTGTACCAGAGGACTTCTGCTTGGAAACTAGATTTCGCAGTGCTGTGCCCATTCTCTTGTGAATGTGGTTAACACAATCTTCCTTGTCCACGGGTATGTATCCATAGACTTTCGCATCTTGAAGAGCAAGGTAAGCGCGGCTGTCACCATCCGACAACAAGGTCGTGTACCGCAGCTTATGCTTCTGCAGCGATCTTTGGAAGAGGATCAGTGCCGCTTCCACCTCCATCTCCCCAGCTTTTTTGTCCGTGTTTTTCTGGCATGCGTGTGCCTCCTTCCAAGCCTGGTAGGCAGGGTCAACTTCTTTTGGTGCCCGTGCGCACCCAGCACAGAAATTGCTGAGCACTACATAATCGAGCACAAATCCTGTGTAGAGCTCAATTACGGTGCCGACGCCGATATGAGACGAGTGGCCGCGCGTCATCCATGTGCCATCGAACGATATAGCGATGTTGTCCGGGCTGTTTATATTTAGGTCACGGTACAAATCGCGCACTAATTGTGCACATGTCCCCATCAACTTTTCTGCCCCATCGGTTGCCGCGGGGACGAGTTTCGTTTTCAAGTGTCCCTGCCATGTTTTATTGTGCATTCCTCTCTCCGAAATGTTCATCGCCGCAAAAATGTCGTTCATTGCGGTTTGCCCGTTTCCGGTGCTCTGCATTGCACGCTCCGCAAGGATGTTTATGACAAAAGGCCTGAGCTTTGCTTTGCCGCTCACGCGCGGCGAGCTCCATCCCTGCACATTATCGCCGCAGATCGCACATTCGGCAACAAACTTCACAGCAAGGCCAAAATCCCGCTCACCTTTTCGCACCGTGAGGTTACCACCACAAATTGTACACTTGCAACTGGTAGACGCCAGCAGCGCGTTCATCGAGTCGTAACTAGCGATGAAAAAACTTGTAGCGAGATCGTTGCTAGCTTGTGTGGCAGCGTCATCACGATCCAAAAAGTCAGATTTTCGGGCAGTAGCAGGAGTTGAAGCAAGTACATTAAGTTTTTCTTGAGCTTCACTCTCTATACGCCGCAAATCTTCTGGCTGCAACATTGCAGTGTCGTGCCGAAACGACGACGAAGACCCGCGGCGGTTGTCAAGAGCGCTTTGGGGGACTAGGCCTAACACGCCCGCATCGGCGCCGCTCGACTCGGGAAGCACGCCGTTCTCCGCATGGTCAGGAACTGGTGGTGGCACAGCAGCGCATTTCTGGAAGTTGTACGGAGTCTTCCTCTTCCTTTTTGTTCCGAATTTGTACTTCGTAGCGAACTTCGGCGACGGCGTCGACATCGTTGCTCACGTGCGAAAACCAGTTGACGCGTACGGTGTGCGCACAGTCGCCGCGGAGTGATGCAGACGATGCCTGTCAGGCCAATGGCGTGACC